TAATTTACCCGGTCCAAAGCTCAAACACCGTTGTACTGGTTCTAATATTCTCCTACAATTTTCAATTCAGACTCCAAACTATATTTAGACCTCTGTAGCATAATTGGTCTAAAAACATTAGGGGAAGTGCACAAATAACCCTTCTTAGAGCTGTTAATTAAGGATTAACCAGTACTTATTTAATCTAAAAAATTTAAACAAAAAATCTTAATTTTAGGACTTTATATCCTACAAATTAAATTGAAAAACTGAAATTCAGGATATATTGGCTAATTCCTAAATAACAGCCCTCTAAAATGGCTATTTGGTGTCATTCAAATACTTGGGCCTCATCAGATTCGAGACAGACCCAATGGATTTTAAACTCACAACCCAAATACTATTAGTGGGTTATATGGACCCAAATATCGAGTGATATTATGAGCCCCAATTTGAAATTGCGCGCGTCTGCTTCGGCGCGTTCACACCTCTTTTCGTCGGCGGCGAACTTCAACTTCTTCCTCTCTTTCTCCGGCAAATCCAGTAGGTAAGTTCCTTCTTTGTCTATTGTTCTATTCATTTTCCTCTCAAAACTATATCCTTTGCTTTCATGTAGTCAATCCTAGCTAATTTAGAGTTAACGCATAGTTAATTGATAGTCCGAAGTTGTGAGGTGTATTAATATGCTTTTACTAGTAGTAATAAATTTTCTGAAAACTTCTATGGTTCTTTAGTGACATGGATATGAGCTCTTATTTCCTATATACTATTTAAAACTTTATTTCCCTCCCTACTCAAATTTCAATTTAATTATATTAGCATATACAATTTATCAATTATGTACATTTTGAAAATTTAATGAGAATCAATTAACTCTTATAATCTCTCTAACATACATATCCCACACGTTTCTCTCTCAATGCCCCTCACATTTTGCACGATCTCCCTCCATTAACGCCCGTCTTTCACGTTTTTCAAAAATGTCTCTCAATTTTTCTGAATTCTATCTCTAAATCCTACCAAAATAGTAGTTGCTACTGATTTTCCTTCCATTTCAATGAAGAAGAAAGCAACTACGAAGATTAGCCCTAAAAAGCTAATGTTGGTGATATTCCAACTTTTGATTTGAGTGTTTTCTCATAGGATTCACCCAAAAAATAGTGAAATCGGCACATGTAAAACCAGAGACAAAGGAAAAGCTTTCCCCTCGTGGAGCTAAGGCAGAAGCTCGAACAAAACTTAAGCATGATAGGGATGCTGGTAAAGCTTCGACATCTTGTAAATCAGTAAAGCGGAAGGACAAAGAAATTGTTCGCGATGATGATTTCGTCGAAGAAAAAGTTATCCCGAAAGCTGCAAAAAAACAGAGTTTCTCCTACTGTCAAACCTTTAAAAAAGAAGAAGGTTCAAAAATTACCAAAAACAATACCCAAACAGTCATTGGAGAATGTAAAGTTTTAGTAGTTACAATTTTGTTTTGTTTTTAAGTTAAAAAACATGTTCTCATTCTCATGACTATACATATTTATTTTTTGTATTTGTAGAAATGTTGTCTATATTGTGTATATTTGTTGTAGGTTATCAACTTTTCTACATTTTCCTATAAATTATAGATTTCTTGTATATTATTCGAAATTATTTTATTAGGGAGTGTACTACATAATTAGTTGGTTTTATTGGTTATTAATTACTCTATTTTGTAGATGTTAGTTTCATTTTCGGTAAATAAATTGTATATATTATGTCTAGTTGTTACTTTCTAATTTATTTCTCTAAACATAATTTTATCAGTGTATTTGTAGCTTCAATGTAGTCAGTTGTTATATATGTTTACTAATTTTATAACTTATTTGTATGCAATATATTAATGTCTGTTTGATTGTAGCTAAATTGTAGTAGAAATGCTTTTATTTTGTTTTATGTTCTTTAAACAAGTTTTATTAACTTACGGTTTCTTTTGGTGCAGAATAGAATATTTTTTGCACCACATGATGTTGATTATGGCATCACTAGGCTCCAGACATTATCCGACCTTGCTCCTTGCCAAATTAATGTGTTATTGTCTGAAAATAGGTTAAAGTTGTTTAAGAAGACATGTTTTGGGCATTTCTTTCCCTGCCCAAAATATGTATTTAAAATCAGGCAATTCACCTTCTCATGAAGTATGAATTGAACGCATCTGATTATGACTTTATACAACAGAGATAAAGGGTGAGAGACTGAACTTTGGATTGAGAGAGTTTGCCTTTATCATTGGCCTTAGATGTTTTACAGAAGTGACGGACTTTGGTTAGACAATTAAGTATGACAGTAAAATAATGAGGAGTTATTTTTCGAACAAGAAAAAAGTTGAGAAGTCATACTTGAAACAAATTGTAACCAGTCGTAGTTGGGTGAATGATGAGGATGCACTCAAGCTGTGTATTCTTTATCTGATAGAATTCTTTCTCTGTCATTCAGACAAAGATAATTTAGGTTTGATAGACCATTTTAGGTTCTACTTGGTGGAATCGGGGCAGTATGCGAATTACGCATGGGGTATCAAAGCTCATACATAATTGCTTCAGTCTGTTAGGCACAAGCTCAACCCTTCTGTGCATTTTTATGTCATTCGAGGTTTTGCACTCGCTATGCAAATATAGTTGTATGAGTGTTGCTCTACAGTCAACACTAATATAGGTACAAGGGTTGGTAATTCGATCCCCCGCATACTTAACTGGACAACTAGTAATGACAGGATATGATTATCTATATTGGAAGATAGAATGATTAAACCATCATGGATCAAGGTAAATATTTTTCACTTATAGGCAGACAATTTAATACAAATTATCTACACATTTTATACATATTATGACTATGTCCCTCACATTTTTTTTCACTCAGTCCACCAACATACTTGAAGCCTCGGAAGAGCTTTCAAGAATGAATTTTCCAGACAAATTTGAATACATTTTGGAGAAGCTGAAACAAAGGTTGAGCATCAGACAGATGCTCCATCTCCATCCGGACATAAGCACACAATGAGAATAGATGACACGAAAGATATTGTGAAACAAATAAAAAAAAATTAAAAAAATATGTTGATAAGGTAACATCTATACATAATCCTAGCTGATTTATTTAATTTATGTTATGCAAATTATTTCGTTAACTCTTTCTATTTTAATATGTAGGTGGGTTTAGACTTTGGAATCTTCAAGAAAGAGGTATACGTAATTCTTGATTTTTAGTTTTCTTTATATATATATATATATATATATATATATATATATATATGTATGTATGTATGTATATATATATATATGTATGTATGTATGTATGTATATATATATATATGTATGTATGTATGTATGTATGTATGTATGCCTCTAATTGTAAGATACATTATAACATTTTTTTGTTCTTTAGGTTTTTGAAGAACTAAGTAGCATTCGATTGCTACTCAATGATTCCATCAAGTCTATTTTACAGGCAATAAACAGTCAAAAGAATAATAACATTGATGTTAACGTTTCATTCGAAATATATTCATTTTGGACAATAAGTTTTACCATGTCTATGTTTCTATTATCATTCATACAGTATATAACCTAACAAATTATGCTTGCAGTTTACTGCAGTTCTACGAAAAATGATGAGCATTACAAAGAAAAGAACAATCAACACAATCCGGACAGTAGTGCTAAACCAGTATTGGCCAACAACCGTAAAACATGTATCTATATTATATTAATATTATATCTACAATATATCTACATATAGCCTAAATTAAGAATAAATAATCTACATTATATTTCCAATGATTTTCTTAGATACAAAACACATGAATGACATTCAAAATGAGGAGAATGTTCCTGTAGGTGTTGACTTATCTTCCCAAATTCAAGGGGCAACATGTATCTACATTATATCTACATATAGTCTAAATTACCAACAAATAATATACATTATATTTTCAATGGTTTTGAGCTGCCAGAGAACTTATCCCAGATTGTTAAGTTCGGCGAGCTTAATGAAGATGAAACAACCTCTGTGCATCAAGGAAGAACAAGGCAACCTGGAAAGCATGCAAGATCCCCCTTCTCCCTTTTTACAATTATGGGGGAAGCAATTATGTTGGACCTCCAATTTTCCTCATCAAGCATCCATTTACTGGGGTTATTGGCGACGATGTTGATCCTGACTTGTTGGAAGAATTCAATAAGTGGTTATACTTTGGTACCAACAAGATTTCAAAGAGGTTAGATTATACATTTTTTTATAATATCGAGTGCATGCAATTTTTGGATTTTTAGTTGAAACTACATAATAATTGTACTTGGTATGTGTTTAAATAGGAGGAAGGCGCCTTATTCTTTAAAAGATAACCAACTCAAGTCGTGGTATGATCTTGGAGTGGAGAAAGTTGATAAAAAAGAGTGGTTTTATACTTTGGCACATCCCGGGCAAGTCCTCAACGACACGATAAACACATACCCTGGCAAAATTTAATGATTAGCTGTAGTATTCTGTTATTTTAGAATTCTGTAGTTTTTTTTGTTTAAAAATTGTAGTTAAATTGTATGAAGTATTGAGAAATAATGAAATCTATTTTTTTTTATAGGAACGAAAAAATCCCATTATAATTTACCTGGTCCAAAGCTCAAACACCATTGTATTGGTTCAAATATTCTCCTACAGTTTGCAATTCAGACCTCTGTAGCATAATTGGTCTCAAAAAATTGAGGGATGTGCACAAATAGCCCTTCTTAGAGCTGTTAATTAAGGATTAACCAGTACGTATTTTGTCCTAAAATTTAAATAAAAAAATTTAATTTCAGGACTTTATATCCTAAAAAATTAAATTGAAAAAACTGAAATTCATGACATATTGGCTAATTTCTAAATAGTAGCCCTCTAAAATGACTATTTGGTGCCATTCAAATACTTGGGCCTCATCAGATTCGAGACAGATCCAATGGATTTCAAACTCAGCCCAAATACTATTAGTGGGTTATATGGACCCAAATAACGAGTGATATTATCAGCCCCAATTTGAAATTGCGCGAGTCTGCTTCGGCGCGTTCACACCACTCTTCGTCGGCGGCGAACTTCAACCTCTTCCTCTATTTCTCCTGCAAATCCAGTGGGTAAGTTCCTTCTTTGTCTATTGTTCTATTCATTTTCCTCTCAAAACCGTATCCTTTGCTTTCATGTAGTCAATCCTAGCTAATTTAGAGTTAAGGCATAGTTAATTGATAGTCCGAAGTTGTGAGGTGTATTAATCTGCTTTTACTAGTAGTAATAAATTTTCTGAAAACTTCTATGGTTCTTTAGTGACTTGGATATGAGCTCTTATTTCGTGCCTATTCGATAATGGCTCAATGTTGTACCAGTTTGTTTTTGAGTTTTTTTTTATTACTAGTAATTTACCTTTTATTAGTTTTTAATGAAGTCCTATAATGTTAGTATGAAGAAGGATTGGCAAAAAAAAAAGAAAGGAATCTCTATCATCATATTGCGAGTTTTCAATCCTTTGCGACTTACTCATATATATCAAATCATGTACCAAATACTTCCAATTATTAGAAACAAATTTGAATTAATAGTCCTCACAAATCTCAGCTATTTCAGTATCAACCAATCTAAAATGTCCTTGAAATCTAGTTCAAGTGGCAAAGGTTGAGGGACTTGTGACTTAGGTTATAGGTTAGAGCACTGCGCCATGCAAACTAAACCTCGTATTTGAGAAGGGTAGAGGGACGTGCCCATTATTCTCGAGTTTCGGAGGCTTCGGTTGGTCTTAAGGGTTGGCCCTAGTTGGATTTCTCGATCATTTCAAAAAAATTCTTGAAATCGCCCCAGGGCTTTGGTTTAGTGCTCAGAGCGCTGTTTGTGATATGTGTATTAGGCGCATGTCACAGGTTCTAACCCTCAGACAAAAGCTGGTATTCTGGTGGAGAAGTATAGAGGGGCAACCCCATTGTGCACCGAGTTTCGAACCATGCGCCACTGATCCTTGGGGGAGTTCTCAGTTATCAAAAAAAAAAAAAAAAATCGTTGAAATCCTTATCAACTCGTCCAGATGGGTCCTTGTGTCTTGTTTTAGCATGTTGGAGAACTTGATAATTAGTACTTCTGGTAATACATACTTTTCTGCCAAGGTTATCATTGAGGTTTCTAGAATGCTTTGACAGCCGCACCTCTGTGTAGATGCTGTCCACTATTTTAGTGGGGTCGTGGCAGGGGAGGAATGTTTTAATCAAAAGAGCTGAGGTTGTAGGTCATCTAGTTTTATGAAGCGTGTTAACTAGTATGAGCTGTATTATTAATGTTTTGAAGGTGGACATGAACTAGGATAACGGTGTTTGAGGAGTAAAGTGACCGAAGAAGCTATAGAGAGCACGAGGATAAAGATAAAGTATTAAGTATTGCACCAAGGAGTTTGATAAAAGGGGATGAGAGCAAAAGCACAGGAATGCAGCCGTTTAATTACCTTGTTGTGAGCTTAATTTACTAAACTGTGAGCGTACGTACTTTCGTTCTCGATGGACCAAATTCAACTATTTATTTGTTGCATATCCTGTAGCTGATGCGTCAGTGAAGTGTTTTCATCCTTAACATACACGATATCATTCGTTATCGTCAGTGCCAGGCTTGGTGAATGACAGAATGAACCCTGCAACATCATTGTTTAGGAGGTTAAATATCAGAGATCTCATAACAAGAACACCTACTTACAGTGGCGCGAGTGGTATGTATTTTGATGTACTCTTTCATGAAGCATCTGCTTTCAAAACAATAAATATATAAAAATGTTCGAAGACTGCATTTGATAGAACTGTCTGATGAAGTTTCTGCAGATACAGATAACTTCGTTCAGCTTTTAAACTCTTGCAGAAAAAAAAAGAAACTTCATCATTCAAAAAGTTTTTGCAAAAACTTGAGAAAAGATGCAAAACTCAGTTTTGTAAAATTTGAAACAAACGCCACCAAGAAGTTTTGAATTTTCTGACATATGTTTTACTTGTGAAAATTTTAGATGTATCAGGAGAAGGATTGGGGTTGATGTTTAAGCGTTGGGCTACCAAAAAGACAGCAGGATCCACTAAGAATGGCCGTGATTCAAAACCAAAGAATCTAGGGGTAAAGAAATTTGGTGGAGAGGTAAGGATTCTCTTCGTTGATGACATGGAGATGATGGAATTATGGGTTGAAAAGAAACTTTATCAAAACCATCGCGTACCAAGTATGAGTTCAAGCCAATTTTTTGCATCCTTTGGTATTCTTATTCTGATATAATTTTTTGGACGCAGAGGGTGATACCTGGAAATATTATTGTTCGTCAAAGAGGAACCAGATTCCATCCTGGAAACTATGTTGGAATAGGGAAAGATCACACGCTTTATGCTCTGAAAGAAGGTTGTGTAAAGTTTGAGCGCCACAAGCTGAGTGGACGCAAGTGGGTGCACGTTGAGCCCAAGGATGGCCATGTGCTTCACCCAGTTTACTCGACTGCTGCAGCTCCTGAGCTGAAGACAGCAACTTAATTAGTTTTTCCTTCAACCGTTGATGGATTGAAGGAGCATGGATTTAATAAAGAAATCGATATGCCAGTACTACATTAGACTGTCTATATTATACATCTTTTTCCCCTCTCTAGATTAAAGCTAATGATACTCAAGTTATGTTTGCCTTACTATAGCTTTTGATGTAACTGGTAAAACAAATGGTAGCTTTTAATAAGGTTTCTTTAGCCTTGAATTGCTGCTAGTTAATATAGTACTATTAATTTGTGTGGTCTCTTGAAGAGGTAAAAGATCGAAATGTGCAATTGTAGAAGGTGGAGACAATGGTTGTGTATTAATACTGCTTATTATTCTTGTTTTCTCATATCTTAACCAAGAAGCAAGAGTGAACAAGAGAAACTTTTCCCTACAGCATAAAAAATGGTCATATAAATATAATTCTGAGCAGTTTTGGTCATTTAAGATTGCAAAAAATGAGCATTTTTTGTTCGTTACATTTAACAGAGTATGAAGTAGAAGAAAATATTTAACTCCAGGAGAAAATGCAATGAATTGTTTCAACACCGACTCGAATTGTTTTTTTTTTCTTTTATTGAATTGATCCCACCAGAACAAAATTTAAACGATTGATACATGTAGTTCCGTCAAATCCTCAACTAATAAACGCAAAAGCTACAAAAATTACACCTCCAAAAGTCAGTTCATATTACATTTTTTTTTCACATCTCTCACTAAATTTAACAACACAACTAGTTAAATATTTTTTTAAGACAAAAATGCTCACTTTGGAAAACTTAAAAAGGACCAAAATGATTCAGAAGTATATTTAAGGAGTCATTTTGAAAAGGGAAAATGGCCAAATATACCACTCTACTTTCGAATATTGTCTACAGTTAACTTTCGTTATACTATCCTGCCAAATTTACCCCTACCGTTATACAATCTGACCAAATTAGCCCCTACAATCAGAAAACTTTTAAAAATTACCCCTCAGTCCTACAGATGACTCAAAATCTCCCAAATTATTTTAATTAAGTCACTTATTCTTCTTCTTGATCCACTATTTTCGAAATAATTGGCATTTACCTAAATTTTTAATTGGAAAAAAAATAAGAGAAAGAAATATTAAAATAATACAATGGTTAGTAAACAAAGTATACTAAATTGAAGAATATAAATTAGGTAGCTTGTCTAAATTCCAAAAGTATTTACAACATCCCAACTTTAATGAATTCATTGCACCAAAGGTATGGAGACTTTGCAAGTATTAGTGGTAGAAGTTGAGGTTACTTGGAGACTTTACATTGTCGAATTCAATTTTGCTTTAATCAAATGCCTACGCATTGTGCACTCTTAAGTTAGTCGATCGAGCTCTATACTAACTAGACAATAACAAAATATATTCGAATATACATGTACATACATGATGATCAGCTGCATATAATAAATAATAAATAGACTCATTGAATTCTACGGTGTGTATATAGTTGAAAAATAAATAAAATTTAAACCAATTCCAAACCCATTATCACAAGAAGAGGAGTGAGTGCATTGGTAATTAAAAATATTCATGAATAATTTGTATGGTCTAGTACCTTTAGCATTTACATTAACAGTAATTTCTGAAAATAGTGGAGCAAGAAGAACAACAAGTGATTTAAATAAAAGGAAAATAGAAGATTTTAGATTATTTAACAGATCAAGGGGTAATTTTTAAAAGTTTGTTGATGGTAAAGTAAATTTGACAGGATAGTATAACGAATGTTAAATATAGACAATATACGAAAGTAGAGCGTTATATTTGTCCATTTTGCCTTTTGGAAATACCCAACTATTTTTGTCATTTTCTCCGGAATGAAAGATCAAGTTCAAATACCGAACATAAATAAAAAGAAAAGTAAAACTGTACATGGGAAACAAAAGGGTGGTGAAGAACCCACACTTACAGCAGCCATGATATTTTTTTCCCCTTCCCCTTCCTTTTCACCGTGTATCTGTGTGTGTGAGCACAATGAAGAAAAAAGGAGCAATCTTTGTTTGGTTTTACTGTCACTTTTACATATTGCAGCATTGATACAAAGTAGGTTTCCAACCAATAGGTTGTGAGTTCGAGTCACCCCAAGAGCAAAATGGAGAATTCTTGGAGGAAGAGAGTCGGAGTTTTATCGAAAACAGTCTCTCTAACCCAGGTTAGAGGTAAAGTCTTCATACACATTACCCTTTCCAGATCACACTAGTGGAATTATACCGAGTTGTTGTTATTGATATAACTTAGGCATATTTATATATATTTGAAACTTCAGTAACTTGCTCTTTTTTTTTTTTTTAGGAAATGGTAAGTGTTATTGATGTTAAAAACCAGTACTAAGAAAGTACGTAATTACATCCACGGATTATTAATTTTATATATGGTAGCTTTGTTCCCTCTCTCACTAGGAATAATATATATATATATATATATATATAATAACCTTGTTTGTTCTGAATATTTTTGGATGTTATAGTAAAATATTGTTATAGAGAGCATATATTATAATATAACATGAAAATTGGTTATGGAAAAACTTGCTTTTGTAGTGAATATTGTTATATAAGGATGCTGTTATAGAGTGGTCTGATTGTATATTACTTTTTCTCTTCCGTAAGCTGACATAGTGGTATTATGGTATAGAGACATGCCATGCAATTGAATTGTGATAAAATATTTCTTTTGCGATGGAGAAATTGCATTTTAATTATGCTGAATTTTTTCTTTGGTCTTACTTTCTAGTTTCTATGGGAATGGTAAACTGTTTCCTAATCTCCATATTTGTTCTAGTGTATGGAAGAGTTGGTTTAAGTATTGTGTTAAGTGTATAGTTCAAGTATAGTATTTCACTTTATTTCATAATATGAACCAAACTTTTCATTGCATGTCCATTAGCCCCCTACTATATTTTAAAGAGTAGTAATCTGCAATTTTGCTAAGTATAGTCAACAAAGTAAAACCTAAATTTTAATATCACAAACACAAATGAATAGATTAGTTGCAGAAATATTTGACTGGATAGTGGATACTATTTCTATTTGGTACCATTTTATAGACCGAGTTTAATATGTATAATTTGTCTTCCACATTATATTAGTAACAAGTAACAACGAAAGAAAATATAAAAATTGTCTGATAGGAAAACATCATATAATTTTATTTTATATATTAAATATATTTAAATTCCTTACTTAGTAGTTTAATATTATATACTATTTCGTTATGACCTAATGAAATAGTATAAACATTAAAGAATAAATTCAAATACAGAGAAAAAATATGAGTATATGATTTTTTTTTTCTTCATTTGTATAAGTTTTGATGCGACAGAATTAGAAGAATTACATAAATTATCTCTCAAACTTGTCCAAAAAAATCAATTACACACTAATACTTTATGAACCACCTATTATCGCTAATAGGATGAAGTAGTAACACAGTAAATATCTTTGTTTGTTATTATTTGACATAAAATGTACAACACGCATTTAATACCTGCTGTAATAATTTAAGAATCAAATAAATAAATAAATAAATCCTCAAATTGCGTGACCAATTTCAGAAGGGGAAGGAGTTGGTTCATCGAAGCAAAAAGCTTTACCCCCGAGAGAGTGAGTGTGCAATTCAACCATTTCCATTTGTCAAAAATTCAATATATCTTTCAACCTTTTTACTGTGTGTGTGCGTGTTTTGTGAGCACATTAAATAAGAAAGAAATAATCTTTGTTAGGTTTATACTAGTGTGTTTTTTACATGTTGCGGCTGTGGAAATGGTACCAAAATTGCTTGGCAGTACATCCGGTGACGACGCAAGTCATCAGCTCCGGTTTGATTTGGGGTTTTGGGGATGTTGCTGCTCAAGCTGTCACTCACTACACTGCCAAAAAACACCTTCATCTTCGCTCTGTAAGCTTCTCCTTTTTTTTTTTTTTTTTTT